GCCGGGTGGGTGTGGCCCATTGGCTGGGCATGGCCCACTAGGTGGGCATGGCCAATTGTGTGGTAATGGCAGACTGGGTGGGACTAAAAAGTTCAATCAATCAATTCCAACTTTGCAAGATTTTTTTTTCCCACGAGAAATTGAAATTGACTGATTGAACTTTTTTTTTTGCACATGGCGGCGGAGGCCTAAAGCAAAAAGGTTTTATAAAACCCAGCTGAAGGCCTAGGACTGGGGCGAGAGCACACGTGCCCACAGAGAGGGCTCTGAGTCCCGCCTCTGGCACCCGTGCCATAGGTTCGCCACCACTGGTTTAGCATAATTTAGCATTCAACAATTTCTTTAACACTTCTCGCACTAGCTTCACGTGGTCAGCCATATTTGTGCTATATATCAGGATATCATCAAGATACACCAAAACCCCCTTGTACAAATGATCGTGTGGTACCTGGTTGATCAGCTGCATGAAGACAGCTGGAGCCCCCTGTAGTCCAAATGGCATAACTTTGAATTGATAGCTCCCCATGGGACAGTTAAAAGTGGTCTTCCATTCATCCCCTTTTCTTATTCTTACTTGATAATATGATTCTCTTAGGTCCAATTTAGTGAAGATGCTCCCCTTTGCTAGGAGGGTTAGTAGGTCCTTCAGGAGGGGGAGGGGGTACTTGTCCTCTATGCTCACAGCATTTAACCCTTTATAGTCTATGGAGAGACGAAGCAACCTGTCTTTTTTCTCTTTAAATAACACCGAGGGCCCCCACTTAAGATTTGGCCGGCTCAATGAATCCTCTTGCTATGTTTTTGTTCACATATTACTGCAGTTCATCCATTTTGAGGGGGGTCATGGTGTGCGTTGTTGGCTTTGGGAGTTTAGCGCCCAGTAATAGTTCTATGGGGCAGTCATTGGGCTGGTGGGGTGGCAGGACATCGCACTCTTTCTTGCTAAATACCTCCGCAAGATCCCGGTATTCATTGGGGATGAGTGGTTCTCCTGGCTGGGGCATGGTAGCTATCTTTGCTAACTCGGTGAATGGCCTAGCCCTAGACTCTCCAGTAACGGCTGAATCAAGAAAGGGTTTGGGCCCTATGGGTAATCTCACAATCCTCATTCCCTTTTCCTACCAAATAAAAGGTTTCCACTTGTCTAACCAGGCTACACCTAAAATCACAGCCTCAGTCATCTTCGGAGCCACCATGAAACAAATGAACTCCCAATGTTCACCTATTTCTAAGCGTATAGCCTCTGTCAGTTGTGTGACTAAAGTTCCTCCCATTAAAGAGCCATCTGTTTGTTCAAATCTCACAGGCTTGGAAAGCAATCTTGCCCATATACCCATTTTAAGGGCAAGTGGCAAGCTGATAATGCACTGGGAACATCCAGAGTCCACTAGAACTCTCAAATCCACTTGTACACCTGTCTTAGGGACTATGAGTTTGGCAGTGAGAGAAAAAATTGGAATGGATCAACTCACCATCGGGTCGTTCTCCCCTTCGTCATCGCTGTCGTAGGAGGGCAGAGTGGTAGCAGGTCCAGCTTGGGCCTCGATGCTCTCCTGTGTGGGCAATGTGACCTGGGAAATGGGTTCTTGTGTGATCCAGTTTGATTTTTCTTTCGCCAGCTATTCGGCTGGTTTCGTCCTCACCGGTGGTCCCGATCTGCTTCCCTGTTGGGGATATGGGATCAGGCAATTTGTTGCTCGGTGCACCTGTTGTCCACATCTGAAGCACTTGATTGGTGGACCAGCAGGTGGCTTGGGGGACTCCACAGCTGTGATGGTTGGGGATTTTGGGGGAGGCGGCCACCTGGTCTGCTCTGGTTTTGGCCCGGCTTCCTGAGGTGGTGGCTTCTTATAGTGAACAAGCTCGACATCCAACCTTACTGCTGTCTAATACCACTCCTGCAATTGATTAGGGACAGCCCGATAGACACAGGCCTGGGAAAGGTAATCATCTAGCCCCTCCTTGAAATGGTGCACTAGGGACTGCTCAGGCCACCTTTCTATCTGATCTGCCACCTTGCAAAACTCTCATACGTATTCCAATGCAGGTCTACCATCTTGCTTTATATTGTAAATTTGTTTCTCTGCTTTGAGGGCTATGGATGGATCCTCAAACCTTGCTCTTAATCCAAGGAGGAAGAGATGGAAGTTCCCCAGTTCAGGCACTTGCTCATTGTACAGATTGTTTAGCCACTCAGATGCTTCCCTTTCCAAATTGGCTGCAACCATGTTGACCATAACAGCTGAATTCGGGTAGAAATTGGCATTGTGATTCATGTGGGAACGTGCTTGATTAAGGAAGAAGATCAGCTTCTCCAGATTGCCATAAAAAGTCACTCTAAGGGGTGGCGCCATCATGCGCTGCTGCCCCCTCCCCACTACAGCTGCTTTCCCAGCGGTTGTTGGTCTCCCTGCTGCAGCTGTTGCATTCCCAGCAGTTGTTGGCCTCCCAACGCTGGCTGCAGCATCCCCAATTGCTGCAGACCCTCCTGCGGTTCTTGCACATTTAGGGTCTGTTACCACCTCCACTGCTGCTGTGCCCCCAATGGGTGCTGACCTCCTGGCAGTGGCAGCTGCAGCATCCCCGGTTGCAGGGCCCCCTGCAGTTGTTGGATGTTCAGAGGCTGTTGCCACCCCCACCGCTGCTGTGCTCCCAATGGTTGCTGACCTCCTGGTGGCAGCGGCGGCAGCATCCCCAGTTGCTGCAGGCTCCCTAGTGGTTGTTGCACATTTGGGGGCTGTTGCCAACCCCACTGCTGCTGCACTCCCACAGGTTGCTGACCTCCCAGTGGCAGTGGCTGCAGCATCCCCAATTGCTGCAGGGCTCCCAATGGTTGTGGCTCTCTGACCTGTTGCTGCCCGGCCAACAGGCAGCAGGTTACGCAGCTGTTGTATTAAACCTTGTTGAACACTCACCTCTGGGTCTCCTCCCTGCGTAAGCCTCAGGCTTGAGTGGCACTGACAGTGATGCACAGGGCTGTACGACCAATAGTAGTGATGGTCAGGGCTCTCACGGTACCTGTGACAATCCAGACTTCAGCTGCCCTGGTAGTGGCTTGGGCTTAGGTAGTGGGGCTGCTCATCCGGGCTGTCATCATAATCCTGCCCCTGGAGCCGTTACGGTGGTGGTGCCTGTCGAGGGATTGTGATGATCAACACCAACCACGGCTTCTCTGCTGGCTGGGGCTCTTATGTTATGAGTGGCGCTCTGGAGTCCTAGAGGAGCGACAATGTCTCAGACTGCCACATTCAGAGTGGTGGCTGGGGCTCTCCTTTCTCACAGGGCTGGAGGTTAATGCTGGTGGCTTTGAGGATAGGGAAGCCGCTTGTACTCCATTGGTAAGTCTGGGGCTTCTCTTAGGCACAGATTGGCATCGGCTCTGCCGATCATCGTGTTCACTTGCATGCGAAGAGAAAGTTGTTCCCCACTCACCTCTAACCTCTCAAATCTCTCCACCAACTTCTCCACTGATTGGCTACGGACTGCAGACAGGTACTTCCATTCTCCAAAGTCCTCAATGGTCGCCAATCTAACGATCCGAGGAACGTGATTCTCGAGAGGCGCCTACTTGCAAGTTGGCTTCGGATGCTTTCGAAGAACTTCCTTTCGGCAGGGTTGCCTCGAGGTGCTTGGAGTCTCCACTGGACAAGGTCCACTCTGATGACCAGATCAGCTCTCGCAACTTTGGTCTTGCCCCCTGCTTTAAGCCATCAAACGTTTCTTTCTCCGCTGGTGCTCTGGCTTGCACTCCCTCTGCTAAGGCAGTCGCCATGGCCAGGGTGCTGGTTACAGGTACTTCTTTCTTCTCCATGCTTAGATCTTCTCTGAGTCTTTGTCAGCTTATTCCCCAACTTAGGGAAGGTGACTGGAGCTCAGGACTCCAAGGTGGTTAAGGTAGAAAGGTAGTTTTGAGGTTAATGTCATGGGTTCGATAGATGAAACCCCTTAAAAGAACTTCAAGACAAAATTCTTCCTCAAAGAACCAAGCCAACGTTTAGAATGTATGGACTTCAACTCCCAGCATACTGTTTGAGGATTTCTGGGAGTTGAAGTCCATGTATCTCACAGCCAGTTTTATGTGGTGGTTATGGCACCAGACTAGAAAGCAAAAGGCAATTTCAGTTCCACCTTATTTATGAAAGCCAGATGGGTCGGTGCACCAGTCATGGTCTCTCAGCCCAACTCTCCCAGTGCTTTTTTTGTATGTATGTATGTATGTATGTATGTATGTAACTGCTTTAGAGAGCGATTTTGCAGGGCCCCCCAGCTGCCCTATCCAGGCTCCAGAGGCCTGGAAAAAAGCCTCGTAGCCCAGATCAGGCCGCTGGGGGCCCGCAAAATCACTCTGCGGCCACAGATTTGGGCGGCAGAGGCCTTTTCCAGGCCTCCAGAGCCCGGATCAGGCTCTGGAGGCCTGCAAAATTGCTCTGCAGCCATACCTGTACTCGTGCTGGCAGCTTAGAAGGAACCGGTTCTTCCATCCCAAAAAAGGTGCTGGAACACCATTCCATGCGTTCTATGACCAAAAAAAAAGCCCTGAACTCTCCTAATGGGGGTTATGATGGGATAAATAGGAGAAGGAAGGTTTGGTAGATATTTTTTCCACCTTGAGTTATTTGTAAAAATAATAAAAGTGGGATACAAATAAATAATCTTAAAAGTTGCTGAAATTGAGAAACACTACTCTAGGTGTTCCTTTAGTTGTCCTAGACTAGAACCGAATTTGCTCAAGATTTCTTTAAAACAGTAATGCCCGGAGACTTCTATCCATCTCTGCTCTTGCTCTAAGGGCACTTTCCTTTTGTTTGCCATGAGCCCCTCCCCCCGTTATTTAACTTAACCCGTTAAATTCCCGACTCTTCCTCCCCGCTCCATCGACTGCTCCGCCTCCAGCTCCGGCCGCTTTTTTCGCTTTCTGCTCGCTGGGCTGGGATACGTTTGATTGGCAGCCGAGAGAGGAGGAGCCGAGAAGCTGTCGCTGCCGGCCCTGTGGGGAAGGCGTATTGATTAATGCATTAATCGCAGTGCCACGACTTCAGTTAGCAACACTGACGCAAGCAATAGGCGTCTGGGGCTGCCCTCGGGGAATCAATAGGCAATTTCGGACGAGAGACTTAGAAGCTGGACGAAGAAAATTCGGACAAGGGTTCGTAACTACCTTTCCAAAGTAGGAAGATTTCTGGGATAGCTGCGCAGAGTATCGCAAAGTAGTGGGAAGTGAGGAGAAAAAGGAACAAGTTTTCCTTTAGAAGTTTGAGGGAAGCTGGGGATTCGGGTACCGGGTATTTATTTAGGTAAGAGATCAGCTTGGAATCGGGAGTTCATGCATGCCCAAAATTGGTGTAAAGCCCCTTCGCTGCAAGAGTAAAAATCAGCGCTCCCTTCTTCCACTGCGCGATAGCGGTGTTTAGAAGCGATATTTTTGGTCTTGTCCACGCGTATCGTTGCGTGTCAAATCTAAGTAGGTTACCTCTTTCCTTTCTCGGAAACGAAAATGACAGCAACTCCCCACAGCTGTGGGACGGGGGGGGAGCGCATTAAGGGCAAGAACATGCAGCTGGGGGGCTCCGCATGGAAGAAATGAATAATCTACTGCACAAAAGAACCCATTTCTTACATGAACTAAAACGGACTGTCCCTCCCTATAAAAATACTCATTTTTATTTCCACGCTGGGGTGTTGGGAGGACGAAAAAGCAATGTAAGAAACTGAGAAGGCAATCTTTAGTAGGGTTGTAGGTTTGATATTTTGGATTAACTCACATGCCCCGCCGTCACCGCATAGAGGTCGGTTGGAGGACAGGTTTCTAAAAAGCCTTGCGATGCGTGGTAATTGTAGGAAAGTATCTCTGAGAATAGCTCCATACTGAATCCAGCAGTGCGCTTTCAAGAAGCTGAAGACTCGCGATGTTCTTGCAGGAATCCTATATTCCAAAGGAAAACGACAAATGCTAGGATGTGAAAGGAGGAAAACCTGCAAGGCCTGTTTCAATTTCTAACTGCAGTTTGATATGTACTTTGGAATTATTTCCCATTTAGCATGTTTTTCACAGGCTTGTCACTGCTTTTGTTCACCTTGCTCATCTACCTTGTCTCCAGGAGTCCCAAAGCTTCTTCTGGCTTTCAAAGGGCGTCTATGCTCTACTAAATGCTGCTGCCCAGAATGGTGATGTGTCCAATTCTCAGGGTAGGAGGAATGCCAAACAGTTATGTGTGCTGTACTTTAGATGGCTGGTGCCTCCCCCTCCCTCTTCTAAACTTTCAGCTTCCAGATCAATATTTCCTTTGCTGGATTAGGACTTTATCTGTCCCTGAATTAAACTATTTATCTACCATGCTTATGTCACTAATGTACTGCCATTAGTGACATAAGCATGGTAGATAATAGTTTATCTGCCGCTTCTCTGCAATTCTGTTCTTGCCTCTCTTGGGTGATTGCTTCCTGTGAAATATTGCTGTCATGAATTTATTTAACTGCTTTGCTTGCTTTCTTCTTCTGCAATAGGAGGAAAAAATATTTGCAATCACAGCACTTTAGGAGAAATGAGTTGGGAATCAATAGTTTTAATTAAAGATGTTAAAGTAAACAATCAAAACTTATAACCTGTGGTTGGATTCTCAGTCTAAGACTGGTGGAAACATAATAATTGAAGCCCTAACAAAGGATCTAAAAATTACTAAGTAGCATCTAGGAATATGGGCAGTTCCAAGTAGGGTGGTTTTTTTAAAAATAGGGTATTCGAGTCTAATAAATTCAGTATTTTCAGATATCAAGGAAGTCCTTGACTGAAGTCCAAGGGCTTCAATCATGACTGATATAATAACAGATTTCTTATACAAGTCCCAATATTTCTTATTTTTTTCCAATTGTTTTATCTCTAGCATCACCTGGAATACGTAGGTACATCAATGAACCAGACTTTTTGGTTTTCAATAACTGTTATATCAGACATGTTATGAACAAGATGTCTATCCGTTTGAATCTTAACGTACAATAAGATCTTAATACATTCATTTTATTGTTGCTATTGACATTTTTTGTTTGAAAAAAATGGTCAACCCAAGATGGCAAAAATACCTAAGTGGTGCAGATGTCACCAAGTCACAAATCCTACCACAAATGACATCATCTTAACCCTTGATTGCATTGTTCTCTGGCAAGCATGGGTCTTGATTGCACTGAAAAAATTTGAAGTTGTTTTTATTATTATTATTATTATTATTATTATTATTTTAGACCAACAAAACAAAAACAAAACAAACATTACACACATACACATGTAATATATCCTTTTTTGTTAACAGCAGTTTGTAACAGTACTCTTCTATTCTTTACATTTCCCCCCTCTTTCTTCTTTGAAATATTTGTCCTTATTGCCCCATTGTTTCTTATTTACATTTTCCTTCTTTCATATTCTACTACTTACTAGGAATCCAACATTATTCATTATAGTAACACTCATATTTTTTATAAGACTTGACCGGAATTCCATCTAAGCATGGTGATCATACAAATATTCTCATATTATTTAGTCACTAAATTTTAGTGCATATACTGTTTTTACTCCAATACCATTTCCAACATTAAAATTCACCCCTTTTCATCCAAGTATATTGATTTAATTTTATTTTTCTTTGACATATATAATAATTCCTCCTTTCTTGTTTTATGCTATTATTGTGTATAATGTTTCTAAATTTTACTTTCTCTAGTAATTTTCTATAATCCTATTTTATGTAAATTTCCTAAAGATACATCACATCTACATCCAATTTCCTTAAATTGTTAAACGTCTAAACTCTTTTTCTTGATATATTTAATCCATTAATATTTATAGAAAAGAGCTTAATTACGTCTCACATTTTTAACTTGATCTATTTTTTTGTTTTTATTTTGTTTTATACTTCTTGTCTCTATAAGTCTTCCTTTTGCTTCTCTTTCTAACCTTTCTCTTTCTTGAAACTTTTGTATTTCTCGCTCTCGATCAACTTCCTTTAATAGATCTTCGTCATAACTTTTACTCTCCGGCTCTTCCCTACTTTCTTGTTCTTCTCCTTGTGAAAAGTAACTCTCATAAAAGTCCCGTGCTTTCTCAAGTGTATCTATCTTGTATTTTTTCTCCTACCAAGTTAAAGGTATGCCTTCAGGTATTAACCAACGAAACTTGACTTTATATTTAATTGAGTCGTTAAAAATTGGTATTCTCGTCTCTGAGTTCATATACTACGTGGTATTTGTTTTAATACAATTATTTCTTTACCCTTATACATTATTGATTTGTCTCTTGTTTTTTTATATATTTCATCCCTTATTGATCTTCTAGTAAACCTTATATGAACCTCTCTCGCCAATCTATGCCTTCGTGCATAATTTGTGTATACTCTATATGTTTCATCCATGTCTCTTTTTACTTCCAATTTTTCTTTGCCTAAAATCACCGCCAAAATCTCTGCCATCTTTTCTCCCAAATCTTCCTCCTTTTCGTCAACAATATTTTGAAATCTTAAACAAAACGAAGCTTTGTTCATTTCCAGAAAAGCAATAGATTCAGTCAACTCCTTATTTGCTTGATCAGATTTCTGTATCATCCCTTCTATTTTACTATCAACAAGCTCCATTTTTGTTTCAACTTTTTGAATTCTTTGTTCATTTTCCGTCATTGTTTGTTGAATATTACCTATCTTATCATTCATATTTTTAATTTCATCTCTCATTTTTCCAATATCATTCTGAATTACTTTATGATGTATTTTCATTTCTTCATGATTATTTGCTATTGCCTCTTGGGTCATCATCATTGTTTCTTGAATCGTTTGTAGTATTATCTGCAAACTCTGTGGGTTCATTACCAATTCTACTTTTTCTTTTTCTTTCCCCAACATGATTCTTTGGCCTGAAGGAGAGACCATTGTATTTGTGGGATTTGTAACTGTTTTTTTGCTAACTTTACTTGTAGTTACAGTACTTGTCATTTTTATAACTTGAGTAATATTTCTCTACTTTTGCATAAAGAATATATATAATACTTCTAACTATAAATCAATATATATGACTATAATATCATTGTATAACATTAACCTTAACAACTAAAATTACAAGTAAAGTTGTACCTTTCCTTATCCCACTATTTATCTTGTACACTTTATAATATTCTTAACATCTGTTATGTGTGTGTGTGTATGTATGTATGTGTATATATATATATATATATATATATATATATATATATATATATATATATATATTTTCTGAGGTTTTCGCAGGTGTTTGTATGTAGGTCTTTGGTTGTTTGGGTTTTCTCCCGCGTAAAATTGGAAGGTCTTGGCGACGTTTCGACGAAGTCCCATTCGTCATCTTCAGGCTGGTGTTTTCAGCTTCGTGCTTCGAGCAGCAATGTGTGGTCTTAGCTGTTTCTTCCTTTTAACTGCCAGTGGGGGTATGAACTGATTGGGTGGGAGCTTGGCTGTGTTCTGATTGGGTACATTACGCTCATGTGTCATGAGGCCTAAAGACCCACTCCCCATGGCAGAGAAATCGGGGGTTGTGTACAAAATCAACTGTAAGGACTGCCCCTCTAACTACGTGGGTGAGACCTCTAAGAGGGTGAAAACAAGGGCCCAGGAGCATAAGTTGGCCATAAGAAGAAGAGAGCAATACTCCCAGATCCTAACGCACATGATGGACTTTGGGCACAAATTTGATTTTGAGGGTGTGGTTCTGGTTGCCAGCGACGTTACAAAGAGTGGCAGGTTGCTTAAAGAAGCGTGGCTTTCACAAGAGGAGTTGATCAATCGACACATAGACTTGCGCCCTGCACACTTAACATTAAGAGCATGGGAAGCCTGCACCCATTCACTTCACCACCAGCAACTCAATAATGATAACTTGACTTCGTTATCGGGAAGGACTAATACCCAGGCAAAAAACAGCCAATGACCTGAGACCCCCTGGGTTGTCGCAATGGAAACGCGATCGTCACGGAAAGAAATACCTGCCGGTTCCAAGGATTCAATTTCCGATGCATCAGGCATCTTCCCCACCCCCCCCCAGGAACCCTTGTGATGACCAGCCTGCATATCAGTCGATTTAGATGCACTTGCCTCCGTGGAGTGAAACGAGAGCCCGGAGTGACAGCTTAACCACACACCCCACAGACATACAAGGGGAGAGCTACCGTAAATCTTCTACCTAAGGAGTGATTACACGATCTCGGAAGGCAACACAATTAGCCGGGGTGAATGGTGGCGTATTTACAGCACCAGGATCCACATCGCACTCCACATCGCACCCCACTTGGGGGAGGAGCGAGAAGAGCCAATTCACTAAAGTATACAAGCAACCATCTCTGGGGATTTTAACTACCTCGATGATCAGTCAACAGAATTTACAGTCCAGCCTCTGCAATGAGTTGGCCAAAAAGGGGAGAACAACTGTTACGGAGTGTAACGAGACTGGAAAGGCTGGGAAAATGGTGCGTGGGGGAGAGCCATGCAGTGAGAGCACATGCAGAATATCTAGAGTGAGGCTCCGTAGTAATAAACATCATGATGTTAAGGATAGACGCCAGGATAGTGTAGGGGGTGAGGGCTCTGAACTCACGGAAAATCCCAAGGAAGAGAGAAGGGGGAAACGACTTGGTGGTGGGGATGACATCTCAAGTTGGAATAAGATTGAGGATCCTCCTAGACCACAGATATGGATGAGTGGAGAGTCGGAAGCTTGTTTTAACTTTGATGAGGGACGCGTGATACAAGTAGATGAGTCACTCAATTATGCAGCAATCACAACTAATGCTATGATTGGCCGACCTGGGCCCATTACACGGTCCAGAAGCCGAGCGCAGGCGTTAACTCACACATAAATGTTTACTCCCATTGATTTATGTACGCACTGATGAAGTTGGCAGGAGCCAACAAAAGCTAGGTTGCTAATTTTTAAAAACTTTTAACGTTTTATACTTAAAACTTTTGTTTTATATTAAAACTTTTAACGTTTTAACTTTTCCTGGTGATCAAATTTTATTCACAATATGCACACACCCAGGAATCATGTTTCTATTTTTAGTATATATATATATATATATATATATATATATATATATATATATAGGTCTTTGGTTGTTCGGGTTTTCTCCCGCATAAAATTGGAAGTGTCTTGGCGACGTTTCGACGAAGTCCCATTCGTCATCTTCAGGCTGGTGCTTTTCAGCTTCTTGCTTTGAGCAGCAATGTGTGGTCTTAGCTGTTTCTTCCTTTTAACTGCCAGTGGGGGTATGAACTGATTGGGTGGGAGCTTGGCTGTGTTCTGATTGGGTGGAGGTGTGTTCTGAATGGTTAGGGGCTTGGCTGTGCTCTGATTGGCTGGGGGAGTGTTCTGTTTGGTTGTGCTCAGGTTAGTCTGAGTTGCAGAGGGGTTTGAGATTTTGGGCTGCCTTGCTATTTTTTGGCTTCGCGTTCGTGGTCGTGATTCCTCTTCATGGAGGGTGTCAGTTTGCTTCATGTATGGATTGGAGGGGTTTAAAGTGGCTAATGATGCAGCTGTGGTCTGGCTTCTGGTTTGTGGTCGTGCCTCGTCATCGGTGTGGCTTTGGGTTTGTTTTTTGCGTGGATGTGTGGTGGTGACCTCCTGTGTGGTTTTTGTGAGTGTGGGTCTGGTATCATTTTTTGTGTTAGGGAGTCGTTTGTCAATAAGGGCGGGTTTCCAAATGGATGGTAGGCGGGAGGTATCATCTCGCTTGTTCATGCTGTGTGGGTGTTTTTCTATCTCGATGGCTTCTCTGATTATTCTGTTATTAAAATGTTCACTTTTGGCAATGGTTCTGGTATTTTTAAAGTCAATTTCATGTCCTGTGGCTTTAACACAAAAAATGATACCAGACCCACACTCACAAAAACCACACAGGAGGTCACCACCACACATCCATGCAAAAAACAAACCCAAAGCCACACCGATGATGAGGCACGACCACAAACCTGAAGCCAGACCACAGCTGCATCATTAGCCACTTTAAACCCCTCCAATCCATACATGAAGCAAACTGACACCCTCCATGAAGAGGAATCACGACCACGAACGCGAAGCCAAAAAATAGCAAGGCAGCCCAAAATCTCAAACCCCTCTGCAACTCAGACTAACCTGAGTACAACCAAACAGAACACTTCCCCAGCCAATCAGAGCACAGCCAAGCCCCTAACCATTCAGAACACACCTCCACCCAATCAGAACACAGCCAAGCTCCCACCCAATCAGTTCATACCCCCACTGGCAGTTAAAAGGAAGAAACAGCTAAGACCACACATTGCTGCTCAAAGCACGAAGCTGAAAACACCAGCCTGAAGATGACGAATGGGGCTTCGTCGAAACGTCGCCAAGACACTTCCAATTTTATGCGGGAGAAAACCCGAACAACCAAAGACCTACATACAAATACCCGCGAAAACCTCAGAAAACACACACACACACACACACACACACATATATATATATATATATATATATATATATATATATATATATGTTTAAGAAGATTAAGATATATATTTAGTATATATATATATTTCTATAACACTATACACGATACATATACGTATACTATTCTCTAAGTGTTGTCACCACTCTTAATTTCATTCACTATCACTCTTACTTGAATAGTCACATGTTTATATTTCTTTACTATGCTATGATTACTTGAAGTTGTATTTTTAAAGACATAGAAAATGTTTGTTTAGGCTGAAAATGTTTATGGGTTTTTTAAAACTAGGACTGCATTGTTTACAGTCTTTTATATTTATGTTTTAGATCACATATGCTTTTAATGATGACTTTATACTCTCGTATATCTTTGTGATATTCTGTGTATTAGACAAATAATTTCATTAATATATAAAAGGTACATAATATATATTACTGAGATTTATTGTATACTTTCATAGTAACTTATAACTTTATCATATTAATCAACATTAGATGTTTACATTAAATTTATTAAATTAAAATGCTGTATTTTGCAAATAGTATATTTGTACTTGGCCAGTTGAGGCTGGTTCTGTTTAGCAAATTTCAGGCTATTTGCTTAACGTTTATTGATGTAAGTGTTCAGTATTAAGTTACAGTCACTGAAGTTTTGGGGAGGTTATAATTCAATGGTAGAGTGTATAATTTGTGCAGAAATCTCAAATTCTATTTATGCAATTCCAAATAAAATATTTCTGGTAGAGAACCAGAGTACCTTTTTCTTAGAACCAAGAGAGACAGACTGATTTGTACTGTAAGGCAGTGTTTCTCAACCTTGGTAGCTGGGGAATTCTGGGAATTGACACTCACACACCTCAAAGTTACCGAGATTGTGAAACACAGCTGTAACTTAAATACTGAATCCTTATAGATTGCATTAACTTCCTCTGGTGTTTTTCAGACAAAGATCAGGCAGAAGAAATGGAATTTTATGACCCTCAGATGCTTGCAGTCATGGCCTTTGGAGGATTCATGTTTATCTCAGCTATTGGAATATTCCTGGTGTCCACCTTTTCTATGAAAGAGACAACTTATGAAGAAGCTCTGGCAAAACAGCGCAAAGAGCTGGAAAAAGCTAGCCAGCATAAGATGGAAAAGAAAAAGAAAGAGAGATCTGTGGAAAAGAAAGGAAAGGGGAAAAGGGGGGAGGAAAAACCTAATGGAAAAACACTTGAGCCAGATTTGGGATTGGATAATACTGATAGTTTTAAAGATGCTAGTCCTGAACCAGTTTTGATTATTGAACCAATCGCCTCTCAGTTACCAGTTACATCAGTTTCAGTTGTTCCTCAGGTGGAAAAGTCAGACCCATCTCCTAAAGACAAGAAAAAGAAAGAAAGAAAGTACACAACTTCAAATGAACTGGTTTCTGATGGGAAACCCAAGGAGGTGTCAGTAAGTGCTTTTCCAACATTGAGATCTCAGCAGCATAGCCCATTTATTAACTTGGCCACTGTCAAAACATCAGAAGATCTTGGAAACCAAGAAGAATTGAAACATGATAGAGAATCTAAAAAGAAAACTAATGTTAAAAAGAAGAGAGAGTCAAGTAAGTCAGTTACTGCAAATATATTAAAACTTACAGGCAGAACATCTTCATATATACGTTACTCCACTTTATATTCTTTATTTATATATGATTGTAGATCAAAACCTGCCATTAACAGAGTAAAATAATGCCATAACTGAGAAGCAGTCACCATTCATTTTACGTCTCCATATTTTTCCATCCTCATTTCTATCATATCCCCACACTATTTCATATGTTCCTTTTTTCCCTTAAACTTCCACTTTTCTCTTTTTAAGGATTTCATCATCATCCAGCTACATCTTCCCCTTCTTTTAGTCCTTTCACTCTTCTTTTGAATACTTGTTTTGTGATTTGAATTCCTATTAGTATATGACCAAATTTCCTTAACTATTTGTTTTGTACCTATCACTCACTATTATATTTATTCAACATTCATTCAGCACCCAATCATATGTGACCCTATCTCTCTTGCTTTACAACAACTCACTTCTTAAATAACCTATTTATACTGCATTCATTTTACTTGTGTATTACCTGTTATATCTCTATTTCCATATAATATGGTAGTCAGAAGCATGCTCTTATATGTAGCCATTTTCATTTTTTGACTAATTGTTCCTTGAAACAGTCTACGTACTATCAATTAACTTTTTACCAGCATTTACCCATCTTAATCTTTTATTATCTTCCTGTGTTCAGATAAATATTTAGCTAAGGGACACAAATTACAGTACTCTTTCCTCTATTTTTTTGCCATTGCAGTTGTTTACTCATTTACTCAATTATTTACTGTAAAACACAGCCATCTTGGTCTTCAGCACATTAATATTCAGATGTAATTTCCTTTTGTATACCAGATCTAGTTTTTATAAGACTTTTAAATTAGCCAATCAATCAATCAATCTTATAGGCAAGATTTTCTCTGTAGAACTTCATATTTCTGAACAAGATAGATGAATCATTTTCCACTGTAGTAAATAATAGTAAATAACATATTTTATGTAATTGCTTGGAATTCCTCATAATAAATAATTCAGGAAACTCTTAATCCTTCAACTATTCTTTAGTAAAAAGATTGAAGTTTTGCTTGTTATGCATCATTAAATAAACCAAAAGTTCTGGTGGCTTATTTGATCTCTTATTAGGGATAAGAGAATTTTACAAAGTATAAGGGCATCCATCTTTCAGAATACTACAAATAGTGTTCAATGTCCATTTGCTGAAGTTCAAAGGAAATGGAGATCAGATTGCCAGTAATGAGGCAATCGCACCAAAAATCAGGTTCCTTTCAATTCAAGTTTAAGAACTTCTCTGCTTCAATTGATTACAAGGCTAACCCTCCACTGGAAGATCAACAAATTGATGGATTAATAACATTATATTGGGCTTTCAAGTTGATTGGATTTAGTACAATATGAGGCAATTTTTGTAAAGAAGTCACCCAAATAATTAATAAAGGAAAGAGTGCTGAAAAGTTTCACACATTTTCAGTCATGTAACATTTATTTTTGCTAATAAGTATGTCTTTCAAACATTTAAGTTGCTTCTCTTTTACCAATTTTTTTTGTAGCTACCATAGATGATGATAGCATTCCTTACATTCCCTACAAAACTTTGATTTCTATAATCAGAAATACATTTTTTGATGAAAGTGAAGTCCAGGAGTTGATTGAAATCTTAACCAAGAAAGGAGGACCCCAAGATCCATGGCTTGTGGTATGAATCTTTTTTCCAAATTCTGCTAGGACTTTCTTATTTCATTATGAAATAGCTGTATGAATTCTCCTTAGCTATCTATGTGGTAAATTGTGTAACATAAAGTGACTTTAGAGAAAAAGATTTAATAATAATAATAATAATAATAATAATAATAATAATAACAACAACAACAACAACAACAACAATAACAACAATAATAATAACAATAATAATGTTGGAAGGGACCTTGGAGGTCATCTAGTCGAACCCCCTGCTCAGGCAGGAAACCCTATACCATTTCAGATAAATGGCTGTCCAGTCTCTTCTTAAAAACTTTCAGTGTTGGAGTATTCACAACTTCTGGAGGCAGGTTGTTCCACTGATTAATATTCTAACTGTCAGGAAATTTCTCCTTAGTTCTAGGTTGTTTCTCTCTTTGATTAGTTTCCATCCATTGTGTCAGAACCCTCAATTATTAATTACTCATATTCTCTGTGGTTAAGCTGTTCAGGTTCTGCCATTCTCCTGGGGGGGAGACCAGGGGGCTTTGTAGTGCATGTAGAATGCTCTCTCTGTCTGCTTTGATGTATCCTCTATGGCAGTGATGGTGAACCTTTTAAAGACCAAGTGTCCAAACTGCAACCAAAAACCCACTAATGCATCATTGAGTGCCGGGTGGGTGTGGCCCATTGGCTGGGTGTGGCTGCAGTGGTAACGGCAGACTGGGTGGGACTAAAAAGTTCAATCAATCAATTCCAACTTTGCAAGATCTTTTTTTTCCCCGCAAAAAGTTGAAATTGATTGATTGAACCTTTTTTTTTTTTTTGCACACAGTGGTGAAGGCCTAAAGTGAAAAGGTTTTATAAAACCCAGCTGAAGGCTGAGAACTGGGGCAGCGGCGCGCGTGCCCACAGAGAGAGCTCTGAGTGCCACCTCTGGCACCCGTGCCATAGGTTCGCCACCACTACTTATGGGGTGTGAAAGGAATGCCTCGGGGCCATCTGCCTTATCTCACTGCAGAGGGAGGAAACGACAAAGACCTAACAACCTTGAGAGAGGCGCCTTATTGGTTCATTTCCCACAGCTCAGTGTCACTTATGGATTAGCCTGTTTGAACAGGCTAATGGACAGTTGGGGTGGGGTTATTATTTTGCAGTTTAACCTATTGATTTGGGTGGGAAGCCCTCAGGTCCTGCCTAGCTTTCCTGCTTTCTGTACCTGCCAACAAAAGTTCCTTTTGAAATGATGCCAGTTTCAAGAGTTCTGCTTTCTCGGTAGAGAAATGGAGGCAGGTCCTTAGATTAGGCAAGATCTGCAAAGTGGTCAACCCGGAGGACAATTCCTACTGTGGGGACCATGGAAAATAATGTTTAATCATGGCAGTGAGAAAAGGGAAAGCGAGCGCTTGGAGGAGCCCCCCCTGAAGGCTTGCCTGAGTAGCAGCAGCTCAGACTCTTCCAGTTTGTCTGATGAGGCAGACACCCAGGAGAAACCGAGATGGCTGATCAGAGTTGGGAAGAAGGATGCCTGGGACACGAAAGCCAGAAAAATAACCCTCAAGCATGGCAGCCATCAACCCAGTTGGAAGCACGAGATGGAAAGCTCACTCAATATCAGTGAAGAGGAGGGTGAGAGGCCAGCCGCTCCAAACATTTTCTTAAGCCATCAGCATGCTGGTGGGGGTATTGAAAAACCTCCAGGAAGAAGAAGCCAATCCCTGCCATGGCTCAGTGGCTATGGATGTGATGAAGAAAAAGAGGTCTGGGGAGAGTGAGCTTGTGAACCCTGGCCTTTCTACAAGCGCTTTGGAAGTTGTGGGAGCAGCAGCCAAAGCTGCCACCCCAGCCCATGTCATCCCAGCTAGAAGAAGGAGAACTCATCCACCCAACTGCAAAGTCCCGGCCCTGGGGGTAAAGTATGATGGATCGCCCCAGCAGTTGGGCTTCTTCCTAGCCCATGTCCTGAGCTACATGCATGAATACAAATGAGACATCCCCAGGGACCACGGATGCATCAGGATCGTAACCCTGGCCCTGAAAGGCACTGCAGCCAGGTTGATGGTGATCCTGTATAACACTGATGCACCTGAGCTCCAAAATTTTACCCTGTTCATGGCAGCCCTGAGACAGAGGTTTGAGCACCCCCTAGCAGATTGGAAAGCTAGGAAACGCATCACGACAATAAATCAGAGCAGGTGACCAGTGGTTGAGTACACTGAGTAGTTTCAAGACCTGGCGAGCCACCTCAACTGGCCAGAAGAAATCTTGATTGGCCTGTTTAAGGACGGGCTGAATGATGTTCTCTACCAGGCCTGCATTGCCCGGGGGGACCCAGCGCATCTTCACGGTTTGTACATCATGGTAGAAGAGGCAGAAATTGACCTGACACATAGCCAACAGCGACTGGGTCAAACCTGGAGATGTTCTTCCTCAGAAGGAAAAAAGGAGATGGTAAAGACCCAACCGCGAACCTGCGTTTGACTGCCTGCTTCAGATGTAGTAAAGAAGGCCTTCGAGCAGCTGAGTGCAACTCGAAAGCGTCAATCTTGAGAGCAGACGAGTTGTGGGGAGGGGGAGAAAAACTCGGGAAGCCACCACCACTCTCCCGGGAGACCGCAATGAGAGGCGCCGAGGTCATTGAGGTCCAACCTTCCAAAACCCAGGGAGGGGGAACTCCAACCCCACCAGAAAAACCACCAGAAACTTCTGACAGTGATTCAGATGATGAGCCCCTGGTAAGTAGACCCATCATGCCACTCACCAGACACATAGAACTGTTCAACCCAGAGATGGAAGAGAAAGTGGCCCTTAAAGCATTAATAGACTTGGGTTGCACCCATTGCCTAATCAGTCCAACCCTAGTGGGGAATTTGGGAATTCTGGTGAGGAGGCTGAAGAAACCCATTTCCTTTTGGCAATTAGATGGGTTCATTTCAGGGGGAGTTCCGGTCATCGTGGGCACCCGGCCGATTGAACTCACAATGGGGGACCACACAGAGACTATGACATTTATTGTAGCCCCTAGTGTGGAATGGCCCCTGATTTTGGGGATGACATGTTTGAAAACTTGGAATCCAAGAGTAAACTGGAGAACAGGAAAATTGAGGTTCTCGAAAGGGAAGGTTGTGGCCCAGGGCAAGGAACCAAGGAGGAAAGGGGGGGGGGGAGAAGGTTCAAGGTGGCAGCAGCAGCGGAGCAAAATCCCCTTTTAGGTGTGGACTGATCACAAAAACCTTGCAGCACTGAAAACCCCAAGGAAGTTATCCTCAAAACAAACTCGGTGGTCCCAGCATTTCCACCAGTTTGATTTCTCCATTAAGTACATCCCGGGGAGGAAGAACTTTTTAGCCTATGCCTTATCGCAGTATAATAGTGTAAAATTTGACCTAATCAAACCCTTGATGACTCCAAAACAATTAGCAGCCCCTGTAAGCACAAGAGCTCAGGCAAAGAAACGGATGCCGACGAGCAGTAAAATGGAGGCCCTGACCCACACAAAGGAAAACCCTAGAAAAAAAATCACCTCTGAATAGCGAATCAGGGACTGAGTTTAGACAAGCATTGGAAAAGGACAAATGGTTCCTTAATCATAAAAACCTTTGCTCGATAAGGGACAAATTGCCGTGGGTAGGAGAAAAATTATATGTGCCAAAAACACAGAGAGTAAAAATCATGCAATTTTGAAGGTGGCTGGGCATTTCGGGTTTGTGAAAACTTTCCATCTGATCAAAAGGCAGTTCTGGTGGCCATCTATAAAAAAGAATATTGAAAGCTATGGGGCTAGCTGCCCCATCTGTGCAGCAGCCAAGCGGAAATGGGGAAATGCTGGGCTTATTACAAGCAGTTGCCAGCCCTTCAGCACCCTGGAGAGAGATCTCTATGGATTTTATAGTAGAACTGCCAAAGAGTGCAGGAAATGCTGTCATTTGGGTAGTGACGGACCTATTCTCCAAACAGGTCCACTTCATACTCTGCCAGAAAATTCCCACCACTAAAGCCTTGGCCAAATTGTTTGTACTGCATATCTACTGGCTGCATGGGGCCCCACAACGCATTATATTAGACGGGGGTCCAGTTTACTTCAGAGTTTTGGAGAGCCTTTTTGGAACTACTTGGCACCTGTCACCTAATCATCATCCACAAACAAATGGTGGGATAGAACGTTCAAACTCAGTACTAGAACAATACCTGAGGTGCTTCATAAATTACTAACGAGACAATTGGATTGAGCTGCTGCCTTTTGCAGAAGTCGCTTACAACAACACAGTGCATTCGAGTACTGGTTACACCACATTCCAAGTTGCGACAGGACAAAGTTTTAACTCGATGCCTGAGTTACCTGTTAATGAACCCACCATCCCCTCCTTGAAGGAGTGGATTAAACAGCTGCAAAACACCTGGCCTGTGGTTAGAAAAGCTTTGGATGAGGCAAGGGAATCTTATAAAGCATAGGCAAATAAAAGATTAATGGGACCTAAACCATTCAAAATAGGAGAAAACCAAATTCTTAAAGTCCTTGCAGTCTTCAAAAAAGCTGGGCCCAAAATTCATAGGACCCTTCCCCATAAAATGCATAATTAGCCCACTACCAGTTGAAGTGGAAGTCCCAAAACCATTAAGACAAGTCCACCCTGTATTTCACTGCAGCCTGCTTAAACAGGAACTAACCTCTCCCTTAAGGCCAGCAGAAGCTCCCCCCCTGACAACCCATGGTGGAAGGGGAGCAACATTTTGAAATTAAAGAAATATTAGATTCCAGAAAACATCATGGGTCGACCCAAGATTTGGTAGCATGGAAAGATCTCCCACCACCTCAAAATGATTGGGTACGTAAGAAACATGTCAGGGCCCCTAGATTGCTGAAAAGGTTCCACACCTGTTATCTGGATAAGCCTGACTTATGTGGTTTCAACTCTTTCCCCTTTATTATTTTCTCTGTCTCCAGGTGGATCTCTCATTTTTCAAGGGGGGCAGCATGTCAGAACCCTCAATTATTAATTATTCATGTTCTCTGTGGTTAAGCTGTTCGGGTTCTGCCATTCTCCTTGGGGGGGGAGAGACTAGGGGGCTTTATAGTGCACATAAAATGCTTCCTCTATCTGCTTTGATGTATCCTCTTTGGGTGTGAAAAGCAATGCCTCGGGGCCATCTGCCTTATCGCAGTGCAGAGGGAGGAAATGGCGAAGACCTAACAACCTTGAGAGAGGCATCTTATCAGTTTGTTTCCCGCAGCTTGATGTCACCCATGGATTGACCTGGTGGACAGTTGGGGTGAGGTTATTATTTTGCAGGTTTAATCTATTGATTTGGGCAGAAAGCCCTCAGATCCTGCCTAGCTTTCCTGCTTCTGTACCTGCCAATAAAAATTCCTTTTGAAATTATGCTAGTTTCAAGAATTCTGCTTTCTTGGTAGAGAAACGGAGGCAGGTCCTTACATTCTTTTCAGCAATGCCAGTAAATCCTGTGTTTCTCTTACAGAAAATCAGAAAACTTTTTTTTGTGGTGGGAAACTTTCTTTACTAACATTGTACAAAATATACTGAAGTATGAGTGGAAAGAAAAAAATCAAAGGAAAGGATGGTAATCAATAAAATTAATATTACATTAAAATTTATGTTAATTTAAGATTAATCTTAATTTAAGGTTCATGATTTAATCTTTTGGAGTGCAGATATAGCCATGGCCCAGCCAAAGGCTCTTGTTTGTCTTGTATATTTTATTGAGGAATAAGTGAAATAAAATGCTCCTTGAACCAAGAAAATTCACATTTTTACATAAAGGGGAACTGAAGGGGAAAAAAATGAGGCTACAAGGTGGAGAAGAACAAAGACCGAGAGAAAAAACAGATATGAAAGGAAGAATAGGAAAGTAAGGAGGAAATTGCCCTTTTAGATTTTAATGGTTTCTGCACCACATAAACTATTAATGACAGGGAAGAGTAAAAGGAGAGAAGAGGCTGACAGCTAGAGGAAATGTATTTTTGTTTTTATTTTTTACAAAAGATCTATACCAGTGAGATCATGGAACAGAAAGTACCTTGAAACATGGGTAAAATACATTGGTTTGAAGCATTTGAATTAAGGACTATTTTTTTTTTTTTTACTTTTCATCAATTTTTGTTCTAGGCAACTCAGAAAGGTGACCCCATTGCTGTTCTAAAACGGCAACTAGAAGACAAAGAAAAGCAACTTGCTATGGAACATGAAAATGCAACTGCTGTAAAAACTAAACTGAACGCACTTACAAAGGTAGGATTTTGTTGCTTGAAGACTTCAGAAAATGAATTTTAAATAGACTAAGTTAAGTAGAAGTTAATTAGAAATAAACTTCTTATTACTTTTGGTATTTCATTCCTCTACATAATCTGTACTATATTGTGAGCATTTTTTCATTTTAATTAATAGCACTTGTTTTATTTGCTTTAAAGTACCTGTCAACTGTTCAGATGGCAGATCCAGAAAAAGAAACTCCTGGGACATTATTTTACCAAGACTATAAACTTTACTGAATAAACCATATTGGCACAGAAAAAGTGAAGCCAGCTCTGGGTTTCCAGCACAAAAGCTAGCATAGTTAATTCCCCCCTCTCCCAGTCCATTACGTCCACCAATCACTTCTGTTAATTTTGTTATGGGAACCAGCAAGCTATGCTAGTCCATCTGCTCGATGTGTCCTTTGATTGGAACACTGAAGCAGAATATAGGTGAAAGTGCAAATCAGTATTGACAGTATCCTAAATATTCACATTTAGCTTTCTGTATACATAAGAGTATGGCATCGAACCTAACTGCATGAACAAAGCTGTACATCTATTTGACTATTAATGTTAATAAAATATCAGTAACATGCCACAATTCAGTATTGAGGATATTAATAGCATAATTGCAGATGATACACTTCCCTACAGTTGCTAAAATATCTTCTAATTTTTTTTGAACTCTGGTATTTCTGGATTCAGCTTAGGCTATTTCTCAATGGTATGATAAGGATTATGAAAAATAAGAAAATGTAGATTTTTTTTAGTGAGAGCCTTTTTTGTCTGACAAAGTTATAATACGTAGTTGTTGAGAAATATGAATAATGTATGCATTATTTTGAATGCTGAATTTATATGCTGAATTTAGCAGGAAAAAAGTAGATTATGGGTTATGAATATGACACATCAACCAAAATAGAACAACTAGCTAATTTCTCAATAGGGTGTAGGAATCTGCAGCACAGGATGCTGACTGTGATTTCCCTCAAGCTTCTCTTTGAACACTTTCAGCAATGCCTGCAAGGCAAACATTTTAGATGCTGAACAGCTCTTACTCTTAAAGCTGTGCTGGTACAGTGGTTAAAATGCAATATTGCAGGTTAACTCTGCTCATTTCCAGGAGTTCAGTCCTGACCGGCTCAAGGGTGACTCAGCGTTCCATCCTTCTGAGGTCAGTAAAATGAAGACCCAGATGGTTGGGGGCTATATGCTGACTCTGTAAACCCCTTAGGGCGGTAAAGCTCTATGAAACAGTATATAAGTGCTATTGCTATTGCTAAAAGCTGTGCCTTCTGTTTAAGCAAAATTAAGAAAATTTAGTTTGTCTTTTTTACATGATTGTGGGTTCCTCAGTGGATCTTACATCTATGTAGTTTGTAGTTCCTCAGTAGAACTACATCTGTGTGGAGGGAAACATGGGATACCTCAAGGTTCTTTCTTGGGCCTAGTGCTCTCCAACTTAGATTAGGAGATTGAAAGGGCGCTCATCAAATTTGCAGATGACACCAAGCTGGGAAGAATGGCTAACACTTTGGAAGATAGACTCAGGATTCAGAAGGATCTTGATAGATTTGAGTGTTGGACCCTATCCAACAACATGCAGTTCAGTGGTGAGAAAAGTAAGATCCCACACTTAGATAGGAAAAAACAGGTGCATAGGTATAGAATAGACAGTACTGGGCTCAACATTAGTGCCTGTGAAAGAGATCTAGGTGTCATAGTCTACCACCAGTAAAATATGAGTTAACAATGTGCTGCAGTATCAAAAAAGTAAATGCAGTCCTAGGCTGCATCAACAGAATCTTTAAGATCACGGAAAGTGATGGTACTACACTGTACTACCCTGATGAGGCAAAGTTTGGAATACTGCATCCAATTCTGGTCACCACAACACAAAAACATGCTGAGGCCCTAGAAAGAGGACAGAGAAGAGCAACAAAGATGATAAGAGATCTGGAGGCTAAATACTATGAGGAACGGCTATGTTTAATTTAATGAAGAGAAGCCTGAGGGGAGACGTGATAGCAGTCTTCCAATACTTGAAGGTCTGCTACAGGGAAGAGTGTGCTAATTTATTCTCCATAGCACCTGAGGGTAGGAGAAGAAATAATGAGTGGAAGCTCATCAGACGGAGATCTAACCTGGAAATAAGGAGGAATTTCCTGACAATGAAAATTCTTAAGTATTGGAATAGCTTGCCTCCCAGAATTGTGGGTGCTCCCAATCGCTGGAGGTTTTCAAGAAAATATTGGGCAACATTTGTCCAAGATAGTATAAAGACTCTTGCCTTGGGCAGGGGAGTTGGACTAGAAGACCTTCAACCCTATGATTATATGAGATGAATTTGGCTAAAATTATAACTTACTGTGATCTGGACACAATATAGTGGATGGTCACCCTCCACAACGATGATGCCTCAAAGCTGCAGAATTTTGATCACTTTATGGGGGTCCTGCAAACGTATTTTGAAGATCCTCTGGCCAGCCACAATGCCAGAACCAGAATGAAGACCATAAACCAGGGCTGCTGATCAGTAGCCTCCTATACTGAAGAATTCTGAAACCTGGCATGCTGGCTGACCGACTGATTACAAGACGTGCTAATTGAGTATTTCCAGGATGAGGTGACTGACGATGTCTGCAACACCTGCATCTCCAGGAGTGCCCCCCCTCCATGCCTGGTATGTTCTGGCTGAGATAGTCAAAATTGACCTGGCTCATTCAAGGAATCAGCCTGGCTGTGTGTGGCAGAGATCTCTTCTGGAAAAAAAGGAAGCCCTGAAGCCACCGGCCTGTGAACAGAGCCTACGCCGATGCTCCATTGGCTGTTTTAAGTGCAGGAAGGAGGGGCAGTGAGCTGCTGAGTGCTGAGCCCTGTGCCCAGCTCAGAAGACAGCCCTGAGACCTGCTAAGAAGTTGGCAAAGCAGTCTCAGATAACCCAAGAGATGGCCTTGGAGGGAGTGGAAGTCGCTGAGTTCATCCCATCCCCCAAGGATGACAAGAGAACTCTCCCAACTGATGGTCTGATGGAGAACGATACCAACTCTGATGATGACCCATTGGTTGCCCAGTGATCCCAGTGATCATCCCATAGAGCTGGTGGTTTCATCTTTGGGGCACCAAAGGAACCTGGTAGCCCTCCTGGACTTGGCTTCCACACAGTGCCTTCTCAACCCTGCCTTAGTTGAGAAACTAGGCTTGAAACTCAAGCAGCTTAAAGTGCTCATAGCTTTTTGCCAGCTGGATGGCCCAGTAGCTGGGGGAACCAGCAATGTTCATCACTGAGCCAGTAGAAATGAGAGTGGGGGTCGCATACAGAGACTTTGAACTTTATTGTGGTGCCTGGCATGGAGAGGCCCCTCAGCTAGGTTTGGCATGGCTACTGAAGTGGAATGTAAACTGGAGGAGGAAGTTGTTAAAGATTCAGTGGGCTAGCCCAAAAGGGATACTGGAAAAGAACCTGAGGCCCCTGCCCCTAAGCTATCACAGGTGAAGCCAAGAAGGGAGTTAGGAGGCAGAACAAAAGAGTGCCCCAAAGGCAGTCCCTGGGTCCCTAGATAATATTGGGATTTATGGGACATTTTTGGTGAAAAGGGCTCAGACATGCTTCCACCCACCAACCTACTGACTGCTCCATAGAGATTCTGCCGGAGGCTAAGTTGCCCAAACCTAAACTATACTCGATGACCCCTAGAGAATTAGAGGAACTGTAGGCACAGCTTCATACAACCTTCTTGGCTAAGAGTGGCTGTTTCAGTGCTATTCAGGGAAAAAAAGGATGGCTATCTTTGTCAATGCATGGACTATCACGAGCTGAATGCTGTTTGCATAGGAAACATCTACCCTCTTCCCCTGATGAAGGACATGCTAGCCCATTTGGCAAATAGAAGGATATTTACAAATGGGAGGCATACTAAATAGACTTAAGGAAGGTGACGAATGGAAAATGACATTTAATTGGCTCTTAGGGTGTTTCCAATTCCAAGTCCTCCCGTTTGGACTGCAGGGTGCCCCTGCTGTATTTATGCAGCTGATAAATAAGATGTTGCATGAACACCTATATAAAGGGATTTTAGTCTATCTCAATGGCATGTTAAAAACAATTTAAATGATTAAAGGCATGGAGACTAAAACATATGAAGAACAGTAGCAGGAATTGGGTATGTCTAGTCTAATGAAAAGAAGAACTAGGGAAGACATGATAGCAGTGTTCCAATATTTGAGGGGCTGCCACAAAAAAGAGGGGGGTCAATCTATTCTCCAAAGCACTGGAAGGCAAGACAAGAAGCAATGGATGGAAACTAACCAAGGAGAGAACAACCTAGAATTAAACAGAATTTTCCTGACAATGAGAACAATCAACCAGTGGAACAACTTGCCTTCAGAAGTTGTGGATACTCTGTCGCTGGAGGCTTTTAAGAAGAGACTGGACATCCATTTGTCTGAAATGATGTAGGATCTCCTGCTTGAGCAGGGGATTGGACTAGAAGACCTCCAAGGTTCCTTCCAACTATGATGATGATGAATCTTGCAACCTCTGACATATATATATGTTTTCTGAGGTTTTCGCGGGTGTTTGTATGTAGGTCTTTGGTTATTCGGGTTTTCTCCCATGTAAAATTGGAATTCCAATTTTACGTGGGAGAAAATAAGGTGATCACAAGGATAAAATCATAAACACAAATGTTTAATCTACAAAACCAAGCTTTCGTTGGCCACACTATCAACATTGTGAGGGTATAAAATGCTGGGTCCGGGAGTCCATTTTTATGTGGCTGGCTGCCTCTGCGCTTTGACCCTGGATCAGGTCATAGGTCCGCCCACCAGCATCGGCTGTGTAGTTCTTAAAGGGGCCGTTTCTAAAGTTGTCCTCTTCTCTCCAATTGCTGTTGTTTTCTTTGTGCGTGTGTGGGTGCTTGGAGATCCACTGTTCATCCGCTCCCAGTCGTCCCTCCCCATCCCCTTATTCAGGTTAGTTTACCTCTATATTGC